GAGAGAGAGAGAGAGAGAGAGAGAGAGAGAGTTTTGTGTGTGTGTGTGTGTGTGTGTGTGTGTGTGTGCGTGCGCGCGCGTGGATGTATGTGTGCGCGTGCATGCGCGCGCGCGTGTGTGTGGGACAGGCAGGCAGGCAGACAGAGACAGACAGATCAACCACATCGTTTGGAGTACATTGTGCTAGTCTAGTAATGTCAATCTATGAAGAAGCAATTTTGAAGGAAACCATAACTGCTTTGACCTTAGACCTGCATTTTAACGTAGATTGTACACTCTGACGTCATTCCGGTTCACTGATGCTGTACATTGTAAACGTTTTGCCTCAGACTCAGTCTTGAGTCAAGTGAAGGGCAAGGGGTGGGAGGGGGGGGGGGGATTTAAAGTGGCAGGTATACACAGAGCTGTTAAAGTACTTTTAAAAAGGTACTTAAGTACAATCTAAAATATGTACTAAGTACAGTAAAAGTACTTTCCTGTAAAATGTTCTTGAGTACAAGTACTTTTTAAAAAAGTACTTTTGAGTGCATTTTGAGTACTTTCTGCTAATATGCTAAAACAATTCAGCGCTAAAGCAAAACATCATATTGAATAACATATCTAGTATATTTGACAACAAATTAGGCCATTTATTACTAATAATGTAAACAGTATACAAAAGCATTTGAATATACGCATTGAACGTAGGTGAAAATGGTCCGTGAAATTGAAAAAAAACAACCCAGCAAACAAACAGACGCAACTAGTGAGTAAGTGATATTATGAATAGAACTTGTTTGAGCAAGACAATATGATCTAATGTAAGTCAGTCATAGAAGTCGGAAAGTAGGAAAAGTATCCAAATTGGAAAATGTAGAGACAAAGTTGCTCTTAAGAAAATATAGAATCTAAAATTGATGAAAATGGTCAGCAAAAAAAAAGTGCATTGAATTTTTCATTAAAAAATCCTCAAGGAATCAAGGTAGCTTTAAGTACAAACCACAAAAAAAAGGAAAAAAGAAATTTAGTTAACCTAAAAAATTGTTAGATTGATATACACTGAGAACTCATTTTCAGTTTCAATTGATTATAATAGTGGTACGACAGAGTTTGGTCACACTGTGTCGTCCACGGCGCCCACGGCAAACCAAAATAGGCCTACATGTAATTTCCTAGAGTCTAGTAAGAGTAGTGTAACCAAAAATTCTCTACTACAGTAATCTCCGCCTAAGATCCCAGTGCTCTGGAGCAAGGGATATACACATGTATTATATTATATATATATATATATATATACGGGATCTTAGCCGACGAAGCCAAGAAAGAATCTACAGTGACCCATGAACTGACGTGACCCCTGGGTAGGTTTATGACATTATGGCGAGCAAAGAGTGGTCAACCTTGATGACCAATCACAGTAGCATGGTAGCATGAGGCATGCCATAATTTTATATTATACACTCATTAGCATAATAATATTATCGTCTCGAGATCTTTATCTACGTTTATCCAGTTGCCCTTCACCTTCGCCTGTCCAAAAATTGTAACCTTCCATCTCTGATTGAGTCCCCCTGCCTTTGTCGTTACGTACCATTACCCTGTGACCACACCAATTAAAATTCAGGCTGTCTCGCAAATTCGGGAATAGAGAAAAACGGCCTTCAACTTCAATGATTCAATGG